TTCTGTACTACCTTTTGGTGACTTAATTAGATTTTCTTTGTTCTAGAGTTTTTCCTCTAAGAGATTGAAACTATACCATCTGTGCCTCTGACTGGCAACTTGTCATAAATTGTTAACTGTGTTAAATGCATAGTTACATACCATAGGTTATATAGGAGTAGTATCTACACATCCCTTGGAAAAGACCGAAGTTTAGGGAACTTTCGCTTTTTTCTTTCTCATCACTATATAAATATATATATACATATGATTTTTTAACTATTACTTTAATTTTCACCCCAATGTGCATCAACAATTATTTCATAACTGGACTCTTTCCCTACTATTATTAGTGTGATCAAACATCACCCTCTTTTATAGATGACTGCCTTTTTTTTCACTCTGTCAAGTGTCTTAAGGGTGAGGCTGGTAAGTTCTGATCCCTTGACTGTCTGGAAACATCCTTCGCCTTTCAATTTGAATTCAAGTCCAGTTGTGTATAAGGTTTCCAGTTTGGAATAATTTTCCCCCAAATACTTTGAAAATATTGATCCAATTAATTCTGAAATAAAACTTTGCCACTGAGAAATTTGATGCCAATTGCTCGCCAGACCTATACTCCTGCTGACCGCTTTTGGCAGTTTTCTTGTATTTGGTAGTATCCTGAAAATGTGTCCTAATATGCTGGGGCAGTTGCGGTTTCTCACTTCCCCTGCTCAATATTTAGTCCCCTGACAGGTCCTGTGCCCTGAGAAGGGTCCTTCTAGTAGCTTCTCATTATCCTTCCTCAGCCTTTTACATTCTCTCCTTTTTAGACTCCTACACAACAGAAAATGGAACTGTTCAGACTTGCTTTGGCCTCAGACTCTCCACCTCTCGGTCCTTGATCTTCATTCTGGAATAGCTCCAGATGCTCCGGGTCTGCATTTTGGAATATATCTGGGTCCTCTAAGTCTGTATTCTGGAATAGTTTCATGTCCTCTGGTCTGCATTCTGAAACAGCACTGGGACCTCTAGGTCTGCATTCTGGAAGAGCTCTGGGACTTCTAGATCTTCATTCTGGAATAACTCTGGGTCCCCCCTCCAGGTCTGCATTTTGGAATGATCACTGACTCATTTGTCCAATCACTGATTCCGTCTTCATTTTGCCTGTACTGTGATTTTAAGCCACCCTGATTGTTCCATTTTGACTAAGTTTTCCTCCCAAAATCTTTGGTTGTTTCTTTTGAAGGAGCAATGTGTGTGTGTGTGTGTGTGTGTGTGTTTAATGAGTGTTCTTCTCTTTATGCCATTAACTCTTCCCTTGAGCATCTTCTTTTGTTGTATTTGGTGATTCTTTCTCCTGTTTTTAGTTCTCCTCAAACCCATGACAGTTCTTGGCTATGCCCACAACTCTACTATTGAGAGGCCTGATTTGCCTGCCATGGATATAAGTTCCATTCACTCTGATCTGCCCTGGTACTTGGGGGAAGAAGAGGTGGGTATCTTTGGATTGTATCTGCCAAGATTTTATTTTCTGGAGTAATTCTCTGCTCCTCTCTGGAGTTGGTTGCTGTCAGGACACAATGCCTGCTGCCCTGGTCCAAAGAATACATGGGCAATGGTAGTCCAGGCACAGGGCAGGGGTGGGAGGGGCTTCCAACCAATCTTCTTAAAGTCCTGATGTCCACTAACCCTGAGCTGGGTGTCCAAATTCTCATTCCTAGGACACCAGGAGTCTCTACATGTCTTCTGGGATATTTTGATTTCGTCAACACTATCTGTTTCTATACTTTAATAATTAATTAAAACATCTGACCCTCTACCTGCACTTATCAGTGTTTCTACAAACGTTGTAAGTTACTTTTGTTGTGGCTGTCTTAGAATGTCTGCCTTTTGGGGGCTTCTGGTACAGGTGACAGCGGATAAATGCTCTCTCAGGTAACCATCCTGTTCAATCTGCAGAAGACTGATCTGTGTACTGATTCGTACTGTCTTTTTGAAAAACAAAAACAAAAAACAGAAACAAACCCTATATTTAGGTTTTCTTTTAATAGCCAGTTCATGAACTACCCAAAGTCTAAAAATACCCATTTTAAAGTTCTGGTTGATAATATGAATCTCAAAAGCCACAGCCTGTAGCCCTGTGTGAGGCCTCCACCTGCTTCCCAGCCTAGTCCTGGGAAGGGTACCCCACAGCAGCATAGGGCGAGGGTTGGGGAAACTTGAGGACAACCTGCCTGAGGTCCCAGTGAAGAAAGGAGAGAAGAAGCAGGACTCACATCTAAACAACTGGCTGTTGGCCCGAGAGTGGGCACTGTGTCTGGGCTGAGGACACGTTATAAGGTAGAGGTCAGAGCAGATGAGGCCAGAGATGAACCACAGACTTGCTTTCAGAAGCAGAATTCAGCCACATAGTCACTTTGTATTTAAGACTTACCCTGCAATTTCCCCGTTGTCTAATTACCCTGTGTCACCTCATAATACTTACCATATAGTTAAATGGTTGGCAGTTACCATGGAAACCAAGTACTTTTCTCTAACTTGAAAAGGTAGTTGTATTTGTTAAAAATTCTTAGTTGTATTGTACTTTGTTAGAGATTAATCCACAACTGCTGCCAACTTAAAAACAAAGTTAGCTATGGACAGCTGCCTTATCTGCTGTCCCACCTCTTCCCTGGGGAAGTATGTCCATCCCTCTCCCAGATTACACCTAGAGTCACCATCCTCTGCTGTTTGCATGAGTGCTTGTCTCCCTTTGTCCTCAACCTGCTTCCTTCTTGCTTGGCAAACGCATCAGCCTGTTAAAATGTCACTCTCTACCAGTCCCTGCCTATACCCAGACAGTTGCATGGAACTGGAGAAAACACAAATCACTTCCACTCACACCACAGACCACAAGACAGCCGCTGCACCGCAGTCAGCACACCACACACCAGTCAGCACCCCATGCTCCCTGTTCCAGCCACACTCCCAGTTCTCCAGCATTCAGGCACAAACCTTAAATTGAACCTTATGAAATTACCTTTCACTATATGGCAAAAACATGTGAATTGTCCCCCTCACAGGAAGATTTCCTGGGATGAAACCCCCTCTGGGCAATGACCTACTCCCCTTGTCTGCACTCCAGACAGCCATCTTCCCAACCCCTGCAGCTCAGCTGGTGACCCCATCCACACAGAAACCAGTCACTGTTGCTCCCACTGTGGAATAAACCTTCCCTGGCCCCTGCCCCAGTGCTTGCACATCAGTTTTACTCTCATCCCCTTCAGTCAACTAAACTGCTCAAGCTGCCAGTGACCTGCACGAACCCCAGTTCTCTCTCCCAAACTGCGGCAGGGCTAGAGTCAGACCTCACTCCTGACCTGTGTGGTATCCTCTGGGCCTCCTCAGCTCCCTCACGGGTCCTGGCTTAGCCCTAATCAGTTCCCTGTTCTACTGCAGCCTGTCAGGTTGGGGCACCCAAACCCATCCCTGATCCTCTTCCCTCTCTGATGCTCCCTTGATGAGCCTCTATTTCCTGCAGGGAATTGGCATGAGTCCCCACTTCCAGCCCATCCTCATCTTAGCTACAGTCTCATCTGTCCAGCTGTTGATTCAACAGTCAACTGAATGTCAAAGTGTCTCACCTTAACATGTCTGAAGGCCGACACTCCCACTACGCTCTCCACAGCCTTAGTCTCAAGAGCTCAAGAGGATGCCGTTCTTTATCAGCCTAAAACATTGCCATATCCTTGCCCCCCTCACATCACGGCCACTTTGCTGGGAATCCACACTGGCTCTGCCTTCCAAATCCCAAATCTGACCAGCTTTCACCTCCTCCTCAGCATTACCTCTCACCCGACTCATGTAACACCTCCTAATTGGCCCCTACTTCTACCCTGGGTCCCCTGAGCACCTACTCCCCACCCAGAAGTCAGAGCAATTCTGCAAGAACCTCCTTCTGCTCCGGCCTCTCTGCCCTTACAAAGCAAAAGCTCTCATAGGCCGCAGTGACCCACTCACACCTCTCCCTCTTCCTCACCAACCCACCTCACTGGCCCATGGCTGTTCTCTAGCCATCCTCACACTGAGGTCTCACAATGGCTGTTCCCTCTGCCTGGAATGCTATTCTCTCTGCATTACTCATGCACTCACCTTTACTTCAATGTCACCTTCTCAGTGAAGCCAACCCTGATGGCCCTGTTGACCACTAACAACCTCCAACACAACCATGCATGTGCACACACACATGCGGAAACATGCACACACATACACACACGCACTCCCTCACTGTTGTTCTCCCTTTTCCTTTATCAATGGAGCCCGTCACTTGCTTTCTCAGGTGTACAGTCTACCTTTTAGGACTGTCTCTGGGGACAGAGCCTGTCAGTGTGTTTGCTGATAGGCCTGACCCAGCCTAGAACCAGGACCTGCATAAAGCATGTACCTGATCTGTCTGCAGAAGGAATTTGTTGAATCTGAGTTTGCAATTAAATTTTCCCAGTTTCATTAGAATTACTCCTAAAATCAGTTCTGATTCTGAAGTGTCTCATTACCTTCACTATGTTTCTAACCCAAAGAGAATCACCTGTAGTCAGTGAAAGCATTAACATTCTGTATAGATGAAGAGTAACATCACCACACACTCCACGTCGCATCACTGAAGGAACAGGACGTTCTTTCTCATTTCACTACAAATGACCCTGTTAAAAGGAAACGAACAGCCGAGAAGCATCCGAGAGGCATGAACACCAGCAGGTTGTGCTGACCCCATTAGGAGGTTAATGGAAGCCAGGGTGCAATTCAGGGTTAAGAACCTTAAAAGAAGTGGACAAGCAAAGGGAGCAACCAGAAGTGAGGACCAGGCCCCAAGTTGGGGTGGGAGAAGGGAAGGTCAAGATCTGGGCTTAGGTGGGTCAACCAACAGGCACTGAGGTCGGGCACAGGCAGGGCACAGGTGGGCAAAGCAGACCAGGAGAGGCAGGGGTCACAGGTGAGTCATTGTTTGCAACAGGATGGGGCCGGGCAGGTAGGTCACCAGCAGGGGTAGATGAGAGTACCTGGGAGTGTCTCCTTCTCCCGGCCTGTGGACGCCTGTCCTGCCAGCCCACCTGCTTCCCCCGAGGGTGAGGACACTGTCCATCTACCAAAAAGCAAGGGAAAAGTGTCACGTTACCCGATGAACTCAGCAAGGCCAATGTTATGGCACACCTTGAAATCCCACTTGGCCCCAATTACTTATCATTCTCATATCTGGGGGTTCATGAACACCTGATATATTTGAAATTTGATTTGTGCCCATCAGCAGTTGTTAGACACAATTTCATAGGTCAAGGCACTGCTCCCTGGTGAAGGGACACTGTGTGCCCCTGACTGTGTGTTCCTGTCCATGCCCCGTATGGGTGCTCCCACTGTCTCCAAGGTGCCCTCCCTGCCTCTGCTCTGATCTATTCAAAGTCCTTTACCCTGTCCTTGCAGCCTGTAGAGCCTGAACCACACCTCAAAGCTTCAACTGCTTACTGTGGCTTCTGACTTAAAACACATTGTTGGAACAGCAAGTGCCCTCGGATACAGCAGAAATGTGTTTTTACAAATCTGGCAACACATTTGGAAGAGTTCAGAGGTACCCGGTGTGCTGTGGACCCCAGCCAAGCACCTATGCCTACTTCAATGGAGCAAAGCAACTGAGGAGGAGGCCCTGCCTGTGGGCACTGTCACCCTCCTGGGAGGTCTTTCCTGAAACTCCATGTGCAGTAACCCAGGGCCACCAACCCCAGCCCCCCTGGGGAATGGCTGGGGTCTCAGGAGGCTCCTTAATAGAGTGCGGGCAGCAGGAACATGCTTCTAAAAAACTTAGATGAAACTTCAAGATGCAGTCATTATCCTACTCATACCCAAAGAATTATGTTCCAGAAATAGGCACTGGATTAAAAAGACAAGCCAAATCCCTAAAAGGGGGAGAAACTAACAATACTTAAGCACTTTATTTTTTACAAGCATTTTCATTATTATTATCCTATACCTAATATCTGCCAGATTAGGAAGCAGGTATGATTATCACCACTTTTACAGAGTGGGCATAAGGCTCAGAGAGGGAAGGCAGCTGTCAGGGTCACAAGGAGGGAAGATCCCACTCCATCAGCATAGTGCTGGCCTCTGGGATGCGCTCCTGTGCAAGGAGCAGGACAGACAATTCCTTCAGAGGGTGAGGGTAAATTCAGGACACGGTGCTATTTACGGCATTTTAATGACTGTTATTCTGTGTCCCTTCTATGTAGGAGCCGTAATGGTGCCAGAACATTCTCTGCTCTGTGTGTTCCCAAAGTGGTAGGTGAATTACTTCACTTTGTGTTTCAGGTTTCTCAGTGATTAAATAATAGTAACCAACCATGAGTCTGAAATAAGGTTGGCAATACACGTAGATTCTTTTAACAATAATAACAATTAAAACTCTTCCTGGTCTCAGGTAGTTTTCATAGTTCTTCAAAACTGTAGATATTTAAGTATAAAGAGTGAAAACATAAACAAAGAAAAGTCAGACTCTCTCCTGCTTTGCTGACCTCACAGTCCCTGGTGCCATCCCTGTGAGCCCATCCACGATGTTGTGTGTGTGGCAGGAGACACACACGCCTGCTCTACACCTGGCATAGTGTTCTTTACCTCCATATATCTTAGAGTTTTCTTCAATCAGCACATTCAGAGGTACCTTGGCATGAGAAGTAAAATACTGTACATTTTTTAATTTCAGAGAAGTTAACCAAAACCTTCTACATATAGGTCTAGGCAAATTATATCCCGTCAAGTTCATGAGTACTATCCTTCCAGCCACTGCCCACACGATTCACTGTTCACATTCTGATCTCTGACAAATTGAGAGGTGAAATGTTACCATATCAGTTTAATTGTTCAAGACTTTAAGCTCTTGTTTATGTTCACTGAACATCTGGACCTTGTGTGTGAAAGGCCTGCTCATGGCCTTTGTCCACGAAGCAGAACAATTAATGATTCACCATGGATGGCATGGGAATTACCACATTCACATGGTGTGAGTCCTTATTAACTATTTTTTGGTTCTTTTATTGATAATCTCTATGTGATGCTCTTAAATGCCTCATGCATTGGTCAACTGGCCTGGAAGAGCATGAAGCAAAAAGACTGTGCCCTTGGTCCCCTCTGCCTGCTCACTCCTCATCATGTTCCTCCACCACTGCCATGCACACTGCTACTGCTTCTCGTGAGGCCTGCAACATGAACATCCTGTTCTCCACACTCCCTGTATATTGTGCACGTGGGGTCCCCACCAGACTTTCTCTGACCTTTCACACCCTCACTCCATGGCTCTGTATGGTGTCTGGTCCCATCTTCAAGGAGCTCTTTCAGCATGGGTGCATGAGCATTGCTTTTCCCTACGTGCTCACATGTTTGAAAATATATTATTGAGAAAATTCTATCTCTCCTAAAGATTTCCTATACTTCACTACACTTTTATCTAGCATGAAAATCACTGTGGAAACATCTGGGGCCAGTAGACATAAATAGAAAAATGGGTAAAACTGAGAAAAGCATTTCACAAAAGAGATCCAAATGGCCAATAAGCACATGAAAAGGTACTTAAGTCTCATTAGTAATCAAAGATATGCAAATTAAAAACAAAAATAGATGTAAATACTCACCCACTAGACTGCCTAAAATATAACAGTCTGGCAATTCCTTGCCAAGTGCTGGCAAGAACAAGGAGTAATGGGAACGCTGAAACACCTTCCCTTCACTTAGGCTGTTATTTTGTTCTGAAAACCCTTCTACTATAGAGGGAAACAACGAACCCACTGATTGTAATGGAAAAATTATGATGTGTTCAATCCCAACCAAAGATAACCAAACAATTTTCACAGGTAGAAAAAATATGACTTGGATGGTAAAAACACACTTATAAAATAATAATAAATAATTTAAAAGCAAAGAAACACAATTTGCATTTGTTCAAAATGCAATATTAGGAAGGCTTGACAGTATGTCCTCTTCAGAGGAAGAGGACAGGATTTCCCAGTGGTCTGGCTGGAGGAGAATGGTACAAGAGAGCCACTCTTTGGAAGGCATAATTCTAATTTCTGCACTATTTTCCTCACCAATTTATATGCCTTTTGAGGTTCATGGTTATTTTGCACTGTGAGTGCATTTACAAGTTGTAGCACAGCATAGCACCATTAGGACAGGATGATGACACACAGAAACAGATTCATAACAGAAGAGAGTATGATGGGAGATGTGACTGCTGTGGCAGCTCTCACATGATGCACACATGAACCTATTGTTGTTCATCCAAACACTGCATGCAGTGACATTCATTCCGTATCTTCTGGTGGAAAAGGATAATGGGGGGAAATGGGAGAAGGTCCATCAAGGAACATGTATAAAGAACATGTGCACAAAGCCAAAGGGGGTAGGTTCAAGGGTGGGAGGAGGGGATGGGTGGGGTGGGCTGAGGTGAGGTGAAAATGGAGACAACTCTACTTGAACAACAATAAAAAATAAGAAGAAGAAGAGTAAGAAAATTTTAAATATTAAAATTCATAATAGTAAAATTAAAATACTTTGCATTAAATCTAATAAAATACTTGTAAGAAAAAAGAAGAAATTGGTATAAGTTTCTTTTTTAAAACCATAGTGCTATAATATAACTCCGTACAGTTTGTTTATTTAATCTGTTTTGGGTAAAGAGGTCATTGTATGGAGGGGAAAAGATGGTGCTCCAAAATCTGGTGTAGTTTGGAAGAGCAACTGTGGAGAAAAGTGCTTGCCTGATCCATCACTACGTGAGGCACTTCTGTATTTTGCTGGTCTGAGTACAAACTATGAAAAAAAGGAACGGATCAGATAAGAAGACAGATGTGCATGAGCAGGGGAGCCGCAGCTCCACTCGGAGAGGCGTGGCCATGAGAGTTGTGCCAGGTGCGGGCCGTGGCTCCTGGGAGAGCAATGGGCCATCTTGAAATCGGTTGCTTTTCAGACTGTCTTTGTCTCTAGTTGTCAACAACAGTGTGCTTAGATGTGAGAAGGGTGATTCTTGTTTGTTTCCTTTTTAACTTACACATTTTAGCGTAGGCTGTTTCATGAATCTAGCATTGATATCTTTCAATGGTTTGGAAAAATCCATGGCCTTTACCTATTCAGATATTTTTATTTATTTATTTTTAGAGAGAAGAGAAGGGAGGAAGAAAATGAGGGAGAGAAACATCAATGTGTAGTTGCCTCTCACATGCCCCCTACTGGGGACCTGGCCCACAACCCAGGCATGTGCCCTGACTGGGAATTGAACCAGCAGCGACCCTTTGGTTTGCAGGCTGGCACTCAATCCACTGAGCCTTACCAGCCAGGGCACCTAATTCAAATATTTTTTAACGCATTGCCCCCCACCAAAACTCATTCCATTCCATTAGACTTTTGACTCTGCCCACAGGTCACTCACATTCTGTTTTGTATTCTCTGTTCTCTTGTGCTTCAATACAGATACCCTGCACTGAACTGCTACCCACTCACTAAGCCTGCTTTCTGTTATGTCCAGTCTTCTGTCCAGTGAATTATTCATTTTAGATCCTATATTTTTCAATTGTAGAAAATGTATGATTCTTTTCATAGATTTTAATTCACTCTGGATCCCTTAGTTTCTACCACAGGTCCCAGTTATGTTGCATATGGCCCAGCTGTCCATCCTGCTCTTGGTTCTGCCTCCCATCACCCACCCACCCACCCACACTCTGCAGTGTCTGAGCCACATAAGAACTTGTGACCTGGGAAATAATGTTTCACAGGACCCGGTGTGTTGGCTTTTTCTAATTCTTATTGTTCTGCTCTGAGCCTGGCTACAGTGGATAGATGCTGTAGTGATCATGTTTGTTATTATGGGCACACTCTTCCAGTGACATTGCCCCCACCCCTTGGTCAGGCCAATATGCTGCTCAGAAAGAGCTCAAGATTAAAATTTTACTTTTTAGCCACCCATCACACTACACTGTTACGTTTACAATCAACCAAAGCCCCTAAGTCTTTACTCAATACCAACCAAATTTTAATGAATTCACTCAACACATCATCTGTGTAGAATTTTAGGTAGCCCACTGTCCTGGCCTCAAAATGTATCATCTA